GCCCCAAGGAAAAATGTGATTTTTATAGGGGGAAAATTGTTGTACTTTAATTCCCCCTGCACAAAGATGTAAATGGTAGCCCCCACAGGGGGGTCCTACAGGAAATGGGAAAAGAATGAGGGATGGGAAAATGTGCTTTTCGTCCTTTAAATTGGGGGAAACCCAGCTGAAGGGGTTCTGGGAAAGGTTTTTTACCAAAATTGGAAAGGGGGGGAAAATCTTTTAGGCAGCAGGAAAATGAATTTTTTTTGGGGCATTAAAAATGATTAAATTGGGTGTTTTTTGTTGCATCATACCCCCTTTTTCGGGGGCTGGTCCCCAAGACTTGTTTAATGTAACTGGTCAGTTTTCCCCGTTTTAGAGTTACAAAATTGGGCCAAAAGGGTATAAAACATTAATTTTGATCACCTTCCCAAACCCCCCACCAGGGACGGCATTTCTTTAATAAAACAAAATGTATAATTTTAAATTTTTTTACATAACCAAAAGACTTTTACTTCCACGGATATAGCAACTTGGGATGGGTGAATTTAATCCAATAGATTTTAAAAGGGGGTAATATGCCTTCAGATGATGCCTAAAAATTTTCCATACTTGTCCCCCCACCCCCGGTTTGATTATTGAACATGGCGAGGTAGTTTTTTGATGAAAAAAGAAAAAACCAAATGAATTTTGGCCTGCAAAGGCGTTTTTTAGGGCCCATCATAGGGTTTGGAAAGCCCAATTTTCTTCCTTCCCCCCGGCACCTAAAATCCCGCAGAGGGGGCCCAAACAGTGCACCCCCTTCGGGTTGGAGCAAAACCCATGATGAAACCCAACAAAGGGAGGGCCTTTAGGATCAAACCCATGATGCCCCCCCCGCAAAGGGAGCCCTGATGATTTAACCACCATTACCTACTGGGAAGGGCCCCCTGTCCATCTTGTCATCAACCCCGGGGAAAACCCCAGTATCGGGTTTTCCCGGGCCCCAAACCCGCACCCCCGCCAGTCCTGAGAATTCCCAGGATCGACGACCCCCCGCACCCCAACCCCAAAATAATTATCCGCCCCACCCCCTTCCCGGCGTACTGGGTATGTTTTATGGTCCCCTAGCAATGACATAAAACTTTATCTTGCCAAACTTTATCATGTTCAAAATTTTTTGGTCATCCCCTGGAGTCCTTGATACCCCCGCTGACCTTAAACCCGAAAACACCTCTATGACCACAGCAGTTTAAAGCCCAATTCAGAAGGGTCTGGCGCACCCCCAGGGCCCCGTTTTGGGTTTTTTAAAGGATGCGCCGCACCCTTTTACAAAAGCAAAGTAAAGGCTGGGGAAAACCGGGAAACTGACCCCAGACAATCGGAAATGAGGGACAACTCGGGATGCACAAACAGACCCCTTATCAACCTACAAAAGCAGGTGGGGGAAAATTCGAGATGAACCCGCAGACCATTATCGAACCCACAAAAAGGGAGGTGTGAAACTGAAACCCCCTTTAACTGCAAACATATGGCTCCCTATACCCCCGGGGGGGGCCCCAAGGGAGGGGAGAATTATGGACAAAATTTTGGGAGGCTATTTAAAAATTATTAATTTTATCAACTTCAACCCATAACTGGATAAAAAGGACAATCTGATTTTTTGATGATTAGCATACCTTTTTTAAAATATTGGGAGGAATTTTTTACCCCTTTTGGACAGTACAATTACGTGCAGGGAGTGCCCCCAAAGGGTTTCTTTTTTTTGTTGGGTTTTAATGACGGGTCCTTTGACCAAATAGGAAAGATGTGTTTGCCTGGCATAGTCCGGGCCTGATGAAGCTTTTTGTTTGTGTTTGTGTATGTATGGGTGTGAAATACCACCAATGTAGGGGATAAATGCAGTGACCTCGTAACACAAGATGCTGCTTGGGCATTGGTATTTGCCTCTGCTGAGAAAACAGAATTAGAAAATCTTGCTACAAAAAAAAAGTAAGCAACGAGGACGGGTCCTCTTAAGGGAGCCAAGAGGGGGATCCCATCTTTTCTGTTTTTGTATATTCTGTTTTCTGCATTTTATTAGTTTAATATTTACTTAGACACCACCACATCTTATATTACTCACTTCTACTATATGGTGTGTGTTTAATCTCACGTTTGGTTTAGTGTGCACAATATATATATATAAACTTTTGTCACTTGGGTGAGTTCACATTTAAGGTGTTTTAGATTAGTTATCACCTGCATAATCACGTAATTGATCCTTTTAGGATCAAAGGGGGGAATGTTGTGTATTAATCTGCACTAATCATAAGATAAAATAAAGTTAATGTTTTATAAGTTTAAAGTTGTTTTCCCAAATACTGTTATAAGAGCAATTCAAGGCCAAAATGAGAAAAACAGAGCAGTGAGAGGCATTCAAGGCCAAAAAGGAGAAAAACAGAGCAGTGAGTGTGCACCTGGTCCAAAAGGAGTGGAATCTGCAGGACAACGCAGGGTTGAGGCCCCTTAGTGATAAGAAAGCACACTCAATAAAAATGAAATATTTGACATCTCAAGGTTGCCCAGCTCAGCAAAATTTGGCCATACAAAAAGAGTTGTTATTTTCAAGGCACACGGAGCGGTAATGGTCCCAGAAAGGGTGATGCTTTGACTAAGACACGAGGGGGGAGCAGTAGGCCAGACTGACATGGCTTGAAGCAAGGGAAAGATGTGTTCTGACATCTTTGTGACTAAACCGTCATAAGTTTCTGATTTGAATGCACCAGATGTTTTCATGGCCTGAGAGATTGCTCTCACAAGAATGAGATGTGTCTATGAATGTCACCGTGTTTTGCAGATAAATATCAATGTGACCTTTACCAAAGACTGAAATATGTTCTGAAGGGGGTTTTCCACCGATAAGAAATGTATAAAAGGGAGCTGTGTTCACCATTTGTTCAGCTTCGGCTCACCGGTGACCAGCTCAGTGTGAATGTGTTGTGTTTAGCAATAAACACACTGGACCTGGACTCAGCTGCCTCTGCCTAAATTTTTTGATCTTTGTTTGAGACTTTTTCTGCTTTTTAAGAACTTTGAATTTTTATAAAACTTAGCTTCAATTTTAAGTCGTCAAGAAGAGAATTATAGACGACAAGATAAGCTGTCAGATTATTTTTTTTTTCTTTGGAGAATGCAATACGCTTCCGTAGCTTCTACTTCTAGAAATAGGATAAAAACAAACAGAGGAACTCTACTTACATTGATTCATTAAATAATGCTTGAATCTGGCTGTTTATTTTGGATACTATTACATTACAGATAAGATAGTGTTATATTGTCTTTTATAATTATTGAAAGTGTGAAGAAGTTAAAATTGATTAATCTGTCAAATATTTTTTCAATGAATCGATTAATAATCAGATGGCCAAAGGTTCCTTAAAGAAGATTTTTTACGAAATTTAACCAGGTGAAATGTTTCCTCTTGAGGAGTTCTGTATGGAGAATATTGACAGACAAAAAAAATTTTTTTTTTCTATCTTAAATGCAAAATGTTTACATATTTTTTACAATCTGGTTATAATTCCTGCTCTAAGTGGGTTGCTCTGTCGGCTAAAGGCACATTTTAGTGGCCGTTTACTCAAGTTATCGATTATTCAATTACTAAATTAGTTGACGATTATTTAAATAATCGACCAATATGATTAATTATTTCAGCCCTTGATAAAATACATGAAATGGGCTACACACAGTAACTACAGCCCATATGTACAACTTGTATAGTGAAGTTAATATTTTAATTGCTCAGTGTCAGTTCCTCTTATAGTTCCAGTGCACATGTAAATACAATACATTTATTGCCGTCAATTGAATGTATTATTTTGCATGATACAGAGAGAGCATATTAGATAAAAAAATAAGAGTGGGGTTTACCTCTGTTTACCTCTGCACAATGCTATATCTTCAAAAGAAAACAGAGGATAAATCCACATACAACAGACATATTTAGCCTATATTTGGTTAAATAAGCACGTATTTACCTTCGGTCTTAGTCACTGGTAAGTTTAAATGCAAACCTTTACAGAGTGGAAAAAAGTCCTAATTCCACATTCGTGTGTGTAGTGTCATATAAAATTTGTATTAATGTAGCAAGAAATGCTGCTGTTCTCTTTAAACAAAATGTGTCCTGATGCTCACATTAAGCATAAAAAAGAGCATGCATACTTTTGCATAAGACCAATGACATCAGACCAATGAAACTGAAGACCAAAAGTGTCCCTACCAAAGTCTAAATCTACGCCTACGCCCTTGGTTAAGACCATTTCCAGAAAAAAAGGAAGTCAGCATGGAGAAAATCATTCACAAGTGGAAAAATATATAGGCAGGTGAAGCCCCTTACAAGACTATATAGGCTTTAGATTTATACTGCAAAATGTTAAAATGACAAACAACACAAACAGAGAATGCTTTGTTTTGAAATGTTGGCAGGAGAAAGCAAATTCCCTTTAAAAACAATATCACTTTCAGAGCTCTTAACACAGAACCCAGTATTTAAGCAGACAGGCAGGTTGATATCTCAAAAAGTGTTTATCTAAAGTGGTGGAACCACAGTGAGGGCAGAGGTCATGGATCTCACCCAACCTGATTTAAAACATTTATAAATTACCCCATGTTGTCTGACCACAGTGTCTAAACGTCACTTGCGCCGCTTCTCCTATCCCACATCCTCCAGCCTGCCCCACAGCCTCCAGACCGCCTGCGGTCTTAACCTTTCACATACAAAAGTAATTTATTGAGCAATCGATGACAAAAGTTGACAAAGGACTGAGAGATGCAAATGCTGATTTTCTTAGTAATGATTTCAACTGAATGGTAGATGCAGAAAGTGATCATAGCAATTTTTCTTTATTTTAGTGTCTGTTCTTACAAAGCTGATAAAAAAAAACAAATTTTTATAGCGGGACAGGAAACTGAGGTGTGCTTTAGCAAGCATGACATCCTGTGTAGGTTGATTGACGTAAGTGACGAGAAATACATGCAGTCTTGGCTTAATGCTATGCTTTGATAGAATTTGTGACATGATGGGGATTTATATCTTCTTTTTCTTCTTTTTGACAGAATCTTGGAGCCTGTCTGGAGGTTTGATTCAAATAACTATTCAGTCATAATTATCTTTCTGAGGATGTTAGATGTTTTAATGGACTTTTTTTTTTTTTTCATCTACGGGACGCTTGATTTTAACTTTCTTTATAACTCTTGAGAGCAGTAGCATGTATTCTTGCAAGACAGTTTTTCTGTGTATAACTAATCTTCTTTTGGAGAACACTGCAGAGAATTTGTTTATTTATTGTAAATGATACTGTGTCACATTGTCGACAGTCAATGGAAATAAACTAAAAGCTTACAAGGGAAAAAAAGAACCCACTCCCTTTTTTTACAATTTCAAGTTTTAAGCAATAGCTACAATTCTTTTTTTCTAAAATGCACACAACAGATTTAATCACTAAAGGTTTTGATAATACTGATGCCTTCTGGTTACTTTAGCTAAGGAAAATGGAGGTTCACTAAAACAGTTATTTTAGCCATAACTACACTGAACAGCTTTTCTAACACCACTGAAATCTACTATTTTATTTTAAAAAGTTATAACAGTTATTTAATTACTTAATCCTTAGCCCTTTTTTCTATGTATTTACTGAAATCAGAAACAAAACAAAAAAACACTCATTATCATCATTATCTTCATCTTTATTTATATAGCGCTTTAAAACTGGTACAGCTGAAAACGAATTGCTGAACATAGCTAAAAATAATGAAACACATAAAAAGAATAAAATACAGCGTAAAAATATAAAATAAGGCAATAATAAGAAATCTAAGTAAACAATGTTGTAACAACTAAGTCTTGCCAGTGTTAGAAGCCAGTGTATAAAAGTACGTCTTGAGCGGTGTTTTAAAATTTGGCAGTAAAGGAGGCTCCCTAATGTGCAGAGGGAGGCTATTATATACACAAGGAGGAATTATAGAGAAGGCCCCTCTCAGCTTCCTCTTAAACCTCGGTGCCTGCAGGAGCTGCTGTTATGCTGACCTGAGGGACTGTTGTGCAACTGATATCCTGCAGATAATGAATAAACGATTAACTAGAACTGGAGTTATAATTTTTTCACTTATTCAAAGTTGGAGGTGAAATCAGTTTAGTGTTCTTAGTTGAATAATTATAGCTTTCATTTGTTTACTTACCAGGCTTTGTGGTTTCACCTCTGGAGGGTTCCTGGACCGGATGTTAAAATCCAGGTATCCACACCAATTTAGTGACCCAGGCTAGGTTATCAGCAGAGCTATTAATTATCAATCAAAGAACTATTCATCTCTGTTTATTCCCATTGTTACCAAAAGGGGGTGGATCTTTAGCCTGGGTGCCAGTCCGAACTTAGTCCCGCCCACAAGGTTTGAGTTCGGGGAAGTTCGGTCTGGCTCTGCTCCATAGTAGCGCGAGTATTATCGCCCACTGTCAGGCGATCCAATCAAATTGTCAGGGCGGGCTTTATACGATGATGGACAGATGATCAAGAGTAACGTAATCAACCACGTGACCAAAGCGCGCTTGGGTGACAACAATAATGGCTGCCGCTGGAGAGTTTGGGTGAGTAGATTCTGCTATTAGGTCTGTTCTAGAAGATATCGTCAGCAAATTAATTTTAAAAGAGGAACAGAGAAACGCGATCAAGTCTCATCTTCTTATTCTAGGCGTGAAACTGCACGCTTTGATTTTTGTGGACAACAACTATGCCTCGCTTAACATACGTCACGCACTCTGTTGCTCTTATTGGTTGTAGATCTATCCAATTGAGTGCAGAGGCATTTTTTTTTTCCTGGTTCGTTCAAAACACGCCCCATAATCACAGCTCTATGGAGCAGCATCAGACTCATATTCTGACTAGAATTGAGTCGGACTATGTCAGGCTAGTGGATCTTGCCTGAGTGATAAACCGTCCGCTATATGGATGACAAGACCACTACAAGTTAAACAATGACGTCTTTATTCTAATAATAGGATTACAGAAATCTAACATCTATGCAAATACTACACGCTATTAGAAAATAAATACGAGGTAGACTAAATGATTAGTTAAGGAAAACAAAAAGAATAAAACCCTAAGTAAGAAATCCAGCAGAATAATTGCCTTGTTGCCAATGGATGTGGTGTTTATCAGGCCTACCCTGGTCGAAGCTGCAGCAAGTGCATACCCTTGTAGTCAGGAACAGCGGCACAGCAACCTTAAATTTCGGAGGTTTCTTCAGGCCATTTTGATGTAACATCCACCTTTGTTTCTCTCAGGAACTAACTTAAACACCATTATGATCTCAAATATAATAACTCCAGCTGTGAATTGTTATGGTAAAGTTATTTCTTTATCATTTTCTCTGCTCATCTATCACTCATAAATTAAAACCTTTATATGTTCAATTTCTTTTACTTCTCTACTTCATTTCACTAAATACCGTATTTTCACGACTATAAGGCGCATATAAATGTCTATTTTTCCCCTCAAAATGTGCGGTGCGCCCTATGTGTGTTGTTACTGTAGAATTTGAGACCACCTCATTGAGGAGACGATGAAGGAGTGGCTGCGGGAGGTGAATGTAAGGAGACCAGGTGGTTTTTTTTTCCACTCATCACCATTGCTGTTAATCTGTGACTCCATGCGTGCCCATCTCACAGCTGATGTGAAAAACATGTTATTCAACCGCTCGACATCGGTGTGAACCGGACGCAGCAGCGCAGCTGTTTAATTCAGAAACAGAGGATGATGACTTTGATGGGTTTGATTAATACTTTGTAATAAATACATGAATAAAGCACAATCATACTCAGTTTTGCTCCCGCTCAATTTTTCTACCTGAAAACTTAAATTAAAAAGCAGCCTCTGGGCCGGGTTGCCGGTCATGATTATCTTTCTGAGCATGTTAGATGTTTTAATGGAAACTTTGTTTTAATCTAATCTACACGATGCTTGTTTTTAACTGTCTTTTGAACTCTTTAGAGCAGTAGCATGTGTTGCTGGAAGACCGTTTCCCTGTCTATTGACTAACTAATCATGTTTTGGAGAACACTGCAGATATTTTTGTTATTTGTAAATGATAATGAGTCACATTGTGGACAGTCAATGGAAATAAACTAAAAGCTGAGACAGGGGGGAAAATAATTCCATAACAGAGGAAAAGGTTGACCCATATTCTCTGTATGAGCAAGGGGCATGCTGCCACTGGCTTCTTCAGTGGAAACCTCTGACATCAGTGTGATCAATCTTTTTCTCTCCACCTCAGGGGTCTCCACGTTGCGGTCTTACTAACCCACTGCATACTGTAGTCTCTGTTTTGCTGTCAGACGTAAACAAACATCAGGGTGTTTGACTTGACAGCACTTTTTTTTTTTAAACCCCTAGACTTTTCTTTTACTTTTTCTTTGATTAGGTTTTAAGCAATAGCTATGATTTTTTTTTCCTAAAATGCAGACAACAGCTTTAACCACAAAAGGTTTTGATAATAATGATGTCTTCTGGTTACTTTAAGGAAAGCTAAGGAATATGGAGGGTCTCTAAAACAGTTATTTTAGCCATACACTGAACAGCTTTTTGTTAGGTTTCTGTTTCTGTTATGTATTTCTTTTGCTCCTTGATTTCTAGTGTTTAGTTTTCTTTTCACCATGTTTCTGTATTCTAGTTATTTGATTATTATTATTTTGTTGATGGTTTCTTATTAGGTCCTGTCTTCCAGCTTTTCATTTGTTATCCTCTGCTGCCCTCTTGTGTCCTCTTTCTCTTGCTCTGTTTTCTGTTCTGCGCTCACCTGTTTTCAATTCCCTCATCAGCCATCTTCCTGTCTCTGTCCCCTTTCAAAGCCCTTCCTCTTCAGTTCCTGTTTGCTGGATCGTCGTCAAACGTCTTACATCTCATCAAACTTCTGGTCAGCTCTCTGTCGTCCTTCCTTGTCTCTTCCTGGTTCTTAGTTTGTGTTTTTTTCCCTGATGTCTCCTAGATTCTGGTTCATGATGAATTTTTGTTGGATTTTTGACTCCTGCTTGTGAGATATTTTTGTTGGATTTTGACTCCTGCCTCTGGGCCTGTAAACCTCCAGCCTATGAGCCTGTGAACCTTGATTAAACTTCTTAAATTCATCTCAGCCACCCGTCTCTGCATTTGGGTCCTCAAACCAACACCACCAAATCCTGACACTGTTCTAACACCATTCACATCTGCTACTTTATTTTTGCAAGTTGACACTGTTATCTAATAACTTACCCCCTTTTCTGTGCATATACTGAAATCAGAATGAACAACTAATAGTAACCTTAAAAAAAAAACCTCTGTTTTACCTAACTCATCCTAACATCCACCTTCATTTCTCTCAGGAACTAACACCACTATGATCTCAAATACAGCTACTCCAGCTGTGAAGTATTATGGTAAATTGATTTCTTTATAATTTTCCCTGCTCATCTAAATCCTGTTAAACATGTTAACATGTTAAACCGCCTATTGAAAACTAACTTAAACCAAAACCTTTATATGTTTTGATCAAATTCTTTTTACTTCTCTACTTCATTTCACTATTTATTTCCTGCGGTTTAAATCTTGCATATTCACATAATTGTACCCATGATCCCGTTCTGCAATGATCAACAAATAAACATCAGACTACCACCATAATCTAAATTAATTTGCATTTTTCTCTCTTTTTTTTATAGTTGACAGGAAGGAAGTCTACAACCATGGGAGTAACGTGATTCTAACCTGCAGCAATAAGACATGGAACGAGATACTATATGTTATCTGGAACATTAAAGTAAAAAGCAAAGCCTGCACGATTTCATTCAATAATGATGGCCAAGGTGTTGATGACTGCAATGATGAAAAGTCTCTCAAAACCAATTCAATTGGTCAATCATACTTGAATATCCCAAACTTTTCAGCCAATGATGTTGGGGTTTACAAGTGCGAATCAGTGTACCAAGGAGGAAATCAACATTATAATATTGAAGTGGCTGTCACAGGTAGGACTATATATCATTACTTAAAAGCGTGTTTTGAATCTAGGAATTCTTATTACTAAAATTATAAAAATGATGATTTAATTAAAATGTATAAAATTGATTGTCTATCATTCTGTATTTTACCCTACAGTGCTACACGGTTGGCATTTAATGGGGGCACAGTACAGTTTAATGTTATAGCAATATGTTATATGTATAAACATATTCAGCCTTAAATGAATATGTTTATACACACAGTGGTGCTATCACTCTGGATATTTTATTAATTCATTCATTTACTTCTTTATCTCCTGAAATATTGAAAAATATATACATTTGTGTTTTCAGTGATGTGCTTAACCTTTTTATATATTGTGGAGATACCATATCTGTCCATTCTTTGCTTTTCCGGAACAGCTCCTCCTCGTGTGTCTGCCTGGTTAGAGTATAGGGGTAACAAGATGGTGGCCGTTTGCAGAGCTGAGAGCGGGAATCCTGCTGCCAACATCAGGTGGAGTCCTGCAGGAAATTATTCAGTGACAAAGAAACAAGACCCAGATGGATTTGTAACAGTGGAAAGTCAGCTGGAACTCCCTAAGAACATCGATAGAGAAAACCTGACATGTATTATCCAGCACCAGTTCTGGGATCAGGAGGAAATTTTGGTACCAGAACTCAGAAAAGGTCAGGGTTTTTCAGATTTGAGCTATAATAATAAAATAGTTTTGTTCTTTAAGATTGCTAATTAAATAATGAAAATATTTTCTATAATCTGTAAAAATGTAAGTATTTCTTTGTAAATTAATACTCTTAAAATTTTAATCTCTCTTAAATCTCTTGCAGGAGATTATTCGTTTATGAATTTGATTCGTATTATGATTGTTTTCCTCATGATTGTGTCAACATTCATCATTTTTGCTTTTAAAAAATGGTGAGATGCTTCTTTAAAATTAAACTACTATAGGAGCATATTATAAAATTATCTTTTTTCTCATCACCTGTTTCTAAAATTTTATCAACAGGAGATGCCAACAATGAGAAAGTTCACACCTCAATCAATGGGAAGCCTGTTTTCTGGATTGAAGATTAAAAAAAAGAAGCAAAAGGTTTCCCCTGTGCTCATTGAACTGCCCATGCATGCTTTGAAAAATACTGTTTTGATATTTGCAAGCATTTCCATCAGTTTTCCTTATTGTTTTATCATTTTCTTTGTGTTCTCATTCGTCGACTATTATGATGAAAAAACAGCAGACAGTGTTTAAAATGTGTCACTATAACTAAATAATCACGTACATGTTCAGATCTTTAAAAATTGCAATCTAACCTGCTTTTTTTCCCATTTAGTTAGATTTTATCCTTACTCAAATTGCATAATAACCGCTTTGCTCAAATTTCTACACCCTGATTGGAAAGTAGTTAATAATTATTTTATCAACCTTTGGCAGTAGTTAAAGCCTTTTGTATTTTTGAAAATGATGCCACTAGCTTACCACATCTATTTCTAGGTATTTTGGTTATTTTTTGGTAAAACATCTCAAGCTCATTCAGGCTATCATACAGTTGTATCGCTGCCGAGATGATATTTCTTCTGGGAGATTTTTCTTTCTCCACAAAGGAACATAGAAGGTCTGACAGAGAGACCATGGGTTTTTTATTCACATTATGTGGAAAAAGTAAATCCTGTGATTATTTTCAAAATGCTCTGTATAAGCTACAACAGTAGTACAGCCTGGACAGTTAACTGGTGCATTCATTAAGCAGGTTTACAAGAAGGATCTGGGTTTGGGAGGCTTGAGAATACCATGGGCTGCAAAGCAATAGGGTGTCAGGAACACATCGAGTGCAATTGGCAACATCCAATATGCCCCTTTACCTACATGCAGATTGCAGCTGCTTAAAAGGCTTTAACACTGGTTTAAATATGACATGTGGTAAATATAGATTGTGTTTTTAGAAAGTGAGATTTTTTCATACCATGTTCAGAACTTTGAATTAACAGAATGCTTACTCATCCAAAATGTTTACCACATTTTTACTGTTTTATAGGCATATGTGCTCCTTTAGTTGTTAGCAGTAAATTAGCCATAATGCTCAAAAGGGCACAATTATTCATTTTATTTCTGGAGACTGGAAAAAGTAGAGAAAAAGAAACAAAATTACCCAGAAACTCTCAACGGTACTAAGAATTTTAGACTACTTGCAACTACTCGTAAAACATTAGTTTGACTTTCTTTAAGTTCAATTCATTTTCATATATATCGCCCATCTCACTAAACATGTCATCTCAATGCATTTTAGAGATCAATTAAATTAAATCATTCAGATTGCATCAAGTTATTGACCTTGCAGGATTCATCCCTACTGGATGAGCATGTACACACTCCACACCAGAGAGGAAACCTCCCTTTGACAGCAGAACCAGGCTCTGTGTGAGACTGTTTCCATCTTTATAGACAATATATTGATGCAAATTAAACACTTGTGTGATTATTTTGGCTATGATTACTAGTGCAAATTCCTAAAAAACTAGTTAAATATGACAGGATGAATTAGGGTTGGGAGTTTGGGTCTAAGCTCACTCTTTGCCTGCTGTAGTCAAATACGGTTTACAATGTATACATTTAGATTCTTTAATTTGTATTTTGAAATTTTATACATATGAAGGCGTGTGGAGTTAGTCAGAAAGTGCTATGTGTGCAAAACAGTATGCTGAATAGACCTAGCTGACTTTGACCCTATTTGACCCAACGCTATTCCTATCATGTTCAATCTCTATGGAATGTGATTAGTCAGCTAAATCTGACTAATCATATCAATGCCCCAAAAAGGACAGTTATCCTGTCCTTTTTGGGGCATTGAGCTCTCTCTGAATATATAGCTAATCAGGAAGTGTCAACAGAAGTGTGTCTGCAGTAACTATGATAAGTGATGTCCACGTAGTGCAGACAGAAATAAAGGAGGTAGGAAAAGAAACCTAGGTGACCCCTAACATATGGTGTACAATTTAGGACAACCCCAGGGACTCAGGAAATAAGTTATTTGTACTTAGGAAAAAAGGTAATCACATCTCAGAAAAAAGCTATGGTATATGTTTTGTGTATTCTAAAGGAGAACTTCATAAATCCACTAACTTTGTGTCATTTCTGTAGTTTTTTTGAAAGGCTGGTGTCCAAGACTAAACCAGGATCCTCCATATGTGATGCCATATCTCATAATGAAATCTGGAAGGCTAAAGGCGGTCTGAATTCAAAGCAGTGTTCCTTTCAAATCCAGTGTCCTTGTCGTTGACACGAGAAAAAGTCAAGGCGCAGGAGCTATGATCTACAAATGGTTTTAATAGGGATTAAGAATTATTAATCTCAATCAATTATACCAAGGAGAGTGGTTTGGTTTCAAATAAAAAATAGGAATAAAGCTATTAGAGATTAGACCCTTGGAAATAAAACAAAATTAAGATGACAGAGAGCTGAGGATAGCATGAGGGCTTCTTTGTTTTTCAACTGGGTACAACATTTATTTTTTCCCAGATATGCCAGATATTCATTTTAAAATGTATTTTCAGAGGGCTGCCCCATTGTCCCTATTGGGATCCAGAGTTTAGGAAGGAGGTGAAGTGATTCACCTTAATGCCTTAGAAAGTCTCTCATTGTATTGCCCAGTGAGGGACCAAAACTGTTGGAAATCAAAGACACTGATTAAAACAAAAACAAACAAAACAAACAAACGAAAAGCTCCAAGAGATTAGTATTTGAAATAAATATCCAATTAAAAAAATTGTTGGAACATTGGTAGTCTCTGCACAGCAGACAGAAAGCTAATCTCTGAGCCAATGCCTCCTCTGCTAAGCATTACTTTATTTACTACATGAGAATATTGGGTTTTAGCAATAAACACCAGCCAAAGCTGATTGACTCTTTACCTTTTATAGATTTCTACATTGGGGAGTCATTACACAGACATGTCCACAGACACACACACACACACACACACCCACACACACACACACACACACACACACACACACACACACACACACACACACACACACACACACACACACACACACACACACACACACACACACAGCTTTTTTTTCATGACATATGGGGACATTTAATTGACTTGCATTCATTTTATATGGCCTAACCCAGACCCTTACCCTTACCCTAACTATTACCAAGATCTACCTAATCCTAACCTAAACTGAATTCACACCTTAGTCCTAAACCTAACCCCAACTCAAAGAACAGAACTTTACCATATAGGGACCAGTTGAATGTCCCCATATGTACCTGTAAGTAGGGCTGGGTACCGAACTTCGGTTCTTTTATGGTACCGACCGAAATGCTTCGGTTCTACAGAGTATCGAAACATGCCTCGTCTTTCGGTACCAAGTTTCGGTGATTGGCTGTAACACTTAACGTGATTGCGTCATCCAGGAAAAATACACAGGTGGTCACGCCTACAGCCAGGGTTCATGTGTATCTGTTGTGAACTGGTTGCGAGCGTCATGGAACCCCTTTAAAATGCCCCCAAGGTCAAAAGTGTGAATTCACTTTATTAAGACTGATGCCAATAGTGCGCAATGCAATACATCGTGCACGGAAACAATTTAAGAGCAGAAAGTTGCTCGGTGTTTGACTGCAAGAAGAGCGGACCACAGCCGGCGCGACTATACTCCTCTCATCAGCCCGTGGGCAGAGCAAAGCCAGAGCGGAGTGAATCATGCTGCTTTCAAACTGGACGCAGCAGGAGCAGCAAAATCACGTCTGCTGCTTCCTTTTTTGCTGCTTGTAAGCTTCTGACGCGTGGCTGAAGAAGCTTTGCTGCTCTGGCTGCGCGGTCTACTCTATCCTTTATTTGCCTTGTAGCTATATTTGCTGTGATCAGTGGGAATAAAGTAGTTTTAATATGTTTTTAAGTGGGAAAATCCACCTGAAAACTTAATCAGTGCAGTCAGTTCATCATGCCTTCCAATATTTCTGTCGGAGCCGCTCAGACCCCCACATACCAGCGGTGCGCTGTCAATAGGATCCCATTCAACGGGCTTGTTTGTCAGACATGGTAATTTTTCTAAAGGAAAACTGCTAAGTAAAAAGGTCCTCACAATGTAACAGTGAATATTAGACAATGACATTTTTTTTTTTATGTAAGAGGAAAAATGTAAATGGAAAAATCAGAGCTTAAAATAAAACTCAAGATTTGTACTTTTTTATGTTGTGTAATTTGCTTTTTCTTTGAATTGATATTATAAAACTGGTATCGAAAAAAGTATCATTCAGGAACCGGTATCGAAGTGAAGGTATCGGTATTGGTACCGGAACCGAAAAGTTTTGAACAATACCCAGCCCTACCTGTAAGTCCTGGCATGTAGGATATTTTTCAAAATACTTCCTTCAAATTGTAGGTAAAACAAAACAAAACAATTTGTTAAGAGGAAAGAAATTGAAAAATGGCAAAAAAAGGTGGAATGAAGATAAAAAAGGAAGAAGGTTATATAAAGTAAAAAAGTCAGTATTAAATAGAAATATTAATGAGAGAAACCGAAGGGAAGAAATAATAATGATCAGATTAAGAGTAGGTCATACTTATTTAAATGACAATTTATACTTAATAGGGAGGAAAAATAATGATAAATGTGAAGGATGTAGAGAGATAGAAAATGTAGAACACGTATTGATGAACTGTAAAACATCTGGACCTGAAAGGAAGAAATTGAAAAGAGTTGAAAGGACAGGCCAAGAATGGAGTCTTAAAGGATTATTGGGAAATAAAGGAAATATAAAAGATATTTATAGATTAAGGAAAGCATTATTTATTTATCTTCAGAATACAAAATAAAAAAATTGAATTTAATAGATGTAAAACAATGTTGCTACACACTCATGAACAGTAGGTGGCGGTATGCACGCCCCTTCCCTAGAGCCCGGTGGGAGCGAAAACATTTTGAATGGAAA